TTACCAATAGTATTGTTTATTTTATATATTTCAATGTCTTTAATCTTCACTTGCCAAATTAAAAATTTTAATTTAAATTAAAACTTATTATCTTTTTTTCTTTTATGATAATGAATATTAGATGATAAATTGATAATAATTTAGACCTTGAGACATCATTGCTATCTAAATAAGATTTAAATGTTTTACTTGAGAATGAAGATTGAGGAGGATATAAATGAGTCTTGAAATTTTTATTATTTGGTTATATACTTATGTTTATAAGATAGTAGTTTGTGTTAAAGATTTAAACTTTATTATGTAATTTATTTATTTATTTTATATTTTGTGTAATTTATTTATTTGTAACATGTTTTTATTATTCAATTTATGAATTAAAGCATAAAACAATTTTATTAATAAAAAATTTATCAAGTAAAATTATAAAAATTAATTTTTAAAAAAAAAATAAAAATGGGCTGGCCCAACCCAACCCATAGGCTAACAAGGGGTGGGATAATATTAAAAATTTGAAATTTTATTTATATTTGATGTAATGTATTTACTTATTTATTTTGATGTAATTTATATTATTGTAATATGTTTTTATTATTTAATTTATGGATTAAATCATAGTATAGTTGAGTACTTGTATTGATGAGTAGTAGAAATAATTTTTTTTGAAAAAAATGAGCTAGCTTGGCCCGGCCCATGGGTTAACAAGGGGTGGACTGGGTTGAATATTTTGTAGCCCATATAAAATATGGGCTGGCTCGACCCTGCTCATATTTTTCAGCCCATAAGGGCTAGGGTCGGGTTGGGCCCGGCCGGCCCATATTGACAGGTCTAGTTGTAACTCTTTGTAGTAATAGTGATTTCTCCTTTTTACCCCTTGCAAATCAGCACCTTAGTGTAACTGCATTATACATGGATGTGCAATATAATCAAAATATTAAACATAACTACAAAAAAAAAAAAAAAATTAAACTTGGCCAAAGAACTATAATTAATTTATTAATTTATTTTTAATTTAAATTCATATATCAAGTTTTATTATGTATAGAAAAATAATAAACATTTTGAAAAAAAAAAAAGATTTTTTTCTGTGACAACATAAGTATTGCAAAAGTGCATACCGGATAGGTAAGGGAAGGACTTTGGACTTACAAACGTAAAGCTATATACCTCAATAAGTTAGCTTTTAGGCAAAAAGGTGATTACCTCTTGACAAAGAAATATCAAATCAAATCCAACCTCGACTCAGTTATCATTTCAAATATTCTAATATATAAAATAAAGATAACTCGAATCAGTACGAGAACTCGTGAATTCAAATAGAGAAAATGTTGTGAAATCCCATATGAATAGATAAGGGAGGAGTTCTAAGTTTATAAGCATGAGTGTTACATACTTTTATTTATTAACTTTTTTGAAAAAAAAAATGATCTCATGACCTAGGTATAAAGTTGTTCGAATTTAAAAATCTAGATCTAAGTCCAGAAAAGTTCTTGAGATGTGGATCAAACTGGCCCAATTAAGATTGGGACTGAGCCCAAAGTATTTAAACGGAATCACACTTTTCTCGAGGGCCCTGATTGTAATTTCACAAGCGCGTGCGCGACAGCGTTCCCCGCGACCACCGCGGTTTTGAAAGCATTTCGTGGGATTCGTCCGTTTCTCAGACTGAAGAGAGCGAAGGAGCTTTCTCAAGTTCCCTCTTCGTACACACCCAAAAAAAAAAAAAAAGGAAAATTCAAACCTCGCTTCCATGGCGGATCCCTCAATTGAACAATCCAAACAAAAACTAAACCGTTAACCGTTAAATCTTTTAATTTTCTTTTTAAAATATCTAAATTCGTTTCCATTTTCGTAAATCCAACCACTCCAAAAAAGAAATTCAAAAATTCAATTTCCATGTCAGCTCTGGCTGCTTCAGTTCCTTCTTCTTGGGTCCCTGAAGACGATCTCTTATTAAAGAACGCCGTTGAGGTAAGCTCTGTGTTCTTATTTTTAACTCAATTTTTCCCATGATTCAATCTTATTTAAATTTTCCTATTTTTTACAACCTTAAAAGGAAGAAAAAAAACCTAAGGTTACTGCTAATTAATGATTTTCTGATTTTTTTTAATTTATATTCTAAATTTGGTAATTACAGTCCGGTGCTTCATTGGAAGCACTAGCTAAAGGTGCGGTTCGATTTTCACGAAAGTTTACGGTTAGAGAATTGCAAGATCGATGGCGTTCTTTACTTTATGATCCTGTTATTTCTGCTCAAGCATCTGCTCGAATGATTGAGGTTGAATTATCTGCTCCTAATTTGTATTCGAAGTCGAGTAAATTTGATAATTCTGTCGAAAATGGAAGTGCTAAACGAAAATTGGAAAGTGTTAGAAGATTGTATTATGCTATGAGGAAGAGAGCCTGTAACCAACTTGTAACTAACTCAAGTGATGTTAGTTTTCTTGGATCACCAAATGGTAATGATTGCGTCGATAATAGAGGCTACTGTGAGGAGGCTGTAGGACCCGGCAAGGGTTTTATCCAAAGCCAATTTGGATTCTCTGAGTTGGGGGTGCATTGCGTGCATGATGGATCACAAGAGGATGATTTGAAAGTAACTCTGGAGAAGGATTGCTTTAGTGGAAAGGTTGAGAATCTTGAACAGAATGATGTGCGTAAGGGGTCTCCTCATGTCATTGGTGAGGTTTCAGTTGAATTTGGACATCCCTCCAATGTTGAGGGAATCAAGCCTTACTCAATGGGATATTCATCACCACAGCCAGATATGCCCCTGTGGGAACCAATGGAAGATGTTCCAGCAGCTGTAATGCCTATAAATGGTGGCCCCGGAGATAAAGGCCAGGGTGCAGAAAGTACTATTGTGCATCCTGAAGATGTGGATGGTAAGAAAGTATGCTCATCTGGATATGATACTGTTCCTTCAGATCTTATGTTAAAAGATGGCTATGAAATGAATAATTCTTCTGCTATCTCTGGTGGAGATTTAGCAGATACAGATGCTCTGTTAAACTTTGATGGTGACACAATGGATAGATCTTGTTATGATAGTGTGAATTCGCTTTTGTTGAATTCTCCTAATGATGTTCATGAAGATGATGCATCAAAGACTAAAGAACCGGAGACATTAGTTGCAGATATGTGTCCTGGTATATCAGAAGCTGCCTGTCCTGCAAAGTTGGATGAAATTCCTGATCAACTGTCACATTCTGGACAGGGTGAGCAGCTAGATATATCCTGTCCGGAAATCAATTTGCCTTCATCTACATCGATGTCAAATCCTCATTCTCCTGAACTTAATGTTGAAGTGATTTGCTGCATGTTGAACAGTGAGGACCCTGAAATCCCATGCAATGATGATGTTCTCTTTGGTAAAGCTTTTGCTTTATCTGTAACGGAAAAATGTCAAAAGGTGGGTGGTGACCAGGCTTCATCCTTTGCAAATCCAAAGGATAATAAAGAAGAACTGAGCTTCATAAAGACAGAAGATAACCTTGCTCAATGTTTTACTGCTCCCAAGATGGTAGGACTAGATGTTTTGTCAGAATCTGGTGAGGGTGTCAAATCTGAGATTCATGATGGTCAAAATTCCCTGGTCGACCCATGTAGGTACAAATCAGCACAAGCGTTTCCCAATTTTGTTGCAGATGGTGCAGCTAAGGAAGAGCCATCACATGAATGCAATTACAAAGATATGCCGCTATATACAGAATCCAGTTCCATTGTAGATACTGTTTTGGAACCTGAAGCAAACCTGTCAACATCTGATCGGGTAGAATATGAAAGCGATGATGATGTTCCTAACTTTTCAGATGTTGAAGCCATGGTAAATCTTGACAATTATGTTCATTAGAGGGAATTTTTTCCTTTTGTTGTCATCAGTATTCATTATCTCTGGGCATTTAAATAACAATCTTTTGATGTTCACTTTCAGATACTTGATATGGATTTATGTCCCAATGATTCTGACTCTTGCATTAGTAGAGAAGGTATGAAGTTCAATTTGCATTAACAATGGTTTAATTATGGTTTAACCAATATGAGCAGAGTGAAAATTAATCTGTGTGCTATTCACTTGAAAAATTGTTTGCACATGTTGATTAGTTTTCTATGAATCTCTAGTCTCTAGATATCAAGATGAGCATGCCAAGAGGACAATCATTAGGTTGGAACAGTGTGCTCGGTCTGCTATGCAAAGAGCTATTGCATCTCGAGGAGCACTTGCTGTCTTCTATGGCCATCATATGAAACACTACATTAAGCAAACTGAGGTACGCTATTTTAGCTATGCTTGATTTTTTATTGCATTATTTTACACCACAGTATGCTGGTAATTGACTTTTTCCTTCTCATTTCTGGAGAAGATTTTATTATTTTGTTGGGAATGATACCTAAATGGACTTTTGTCTTCTCAATTCCTTTGCCTAAACTCTTTGGTGTTTCCCTTGATTTTATCACTCTAATTTTTGGTTAGATTGGTGGTGAATATGCATATGTTTTTCCTTTTCCTTTTTATAGTTCAATGCATGAAGGTGCAGAAGTTTGCACTGCATAGAAATTATAGGTGGCGCTTTATATGTATTGATTTTGTGTTGCCTAGTTTGGCACTGATTTCTTGGCTTGAGACATGTAAGATTGTTTTTCTAGTGCAAGCACTCCCTGCTTTGCAGGTTATACTTGGCAGGGCAACCATGGATGTGGATGTTGATATTGATTTAGGAAGAGAAGGGCGTGCCAACAAGATATCTAGACGACAGGTGGGGTATTTTGATTTCCTTGATACAGTTACTTTGCATTTTTTTGGCTGTTTGTCTGTCTTGAGGACAGTACCCAGAGGAGGGTGAGGAAAATTGAACCTTAGGCCTGCGGCTTTTCACCCCTCAAGGGGTCCTGACCACCTGTCAAAAGGTTGTGGTCAGCTGTTTTGGATACTTGCATTTGTTATTAGTTGCAAATATTTCCCCTTTTGTTAGAACTAATCTATGAACAGAAGAGCACAAGTTACGTTATGACATTGATGTGGTTATCTTTTCAAGGTAGGTTCTGTATTGTGTTATGAGGTCAATTGTCCTTGCAGTGGAAATGACCAAAGAAAATGATTAGCACTTGGAGAGGGAGAGATAGCACGATCACTATTACTCCAGAAGTAGAAGGCCACTAGAATGCTACAGGCACTCACTCTTTTAACTCTTTTAAGAAAGGATGGTATCGGGTGACCTTCTGTGTTGTATCATATTATTAGAATTGGATTTATCAGTGGAAACCTTTAGAATTAAATCCATACGTTGAAATAACAGAGGCATGCTTTAAGGCAGCATAAAATCAAAGTTAGAAGGATAAACTACTAAATTTACTGCTTTTAAGATATCCTTTTTAGATTCGTTTGCTCATATACTGCTATCAGATGTACATGAGAATAATTATTCTCGTCATTTCTACTAGGCACTTATAAAAATGGAGGAAGATGGTTCCTTCTCTTTGAAGAATCTTGGCAAGAGTTCAATATTTTTAAATGGGAAAGAAGTTTCTACTGGACAGCTGATGGGTCTTGGTTCAAGTAGTTTGATTGAGGTAGGTGTCTTCGCATTTGAAATGGGTGATATCCTTGTGGGTGGGCCCCTTCCAATTCCATACTATTTCAGTTGTCCAGCTTTTTTGCGCTCTTGAATTCTATTTGATGATCATAACAGATTGCACCTATATGATGTACACTGGCAGAGCTAGTTGACATGTTCTTTTTCTTTTTCCTTTTTTGGCAGATTAGGGATATGGCTTTTGTCTTTGAAACAAACCATAATTCTGTGAAGCGGTATCTAGCAAAAAACTCCCAGAAAAACCAAGAAAAGAAAACCCCTTTTGAATGGTCAGGAGCCGAAGAGGGTACTGCATGAATAGGAAGATCTTCTCAAGGGTACCTTTTAAAACACCCTACCTCCTTTTGTAAGTTAATTTTGTTTTCTATAATTAAAATAGTATTCAAGGCTTACCCTTAATGATAGGAGCATATGTCCAGATAATTACATTTCAGGTTTTACTGTTATATACGCTGCTGACCTTATGTATATAAAAATAGTAGTTGATTCCTCACTTTTAAAGTAGAGGGAAAAATAAATCAAAGAATTTTTTATTAAGTAGTTATGCCTGATTACAATCTATTCTCTTCCCACTATCATTCACCTTTAAAGAAATAGAAATTGATGTTTAATGTTTCTCAAAGTTGACTACAGTTTAAGGCAGCGAAATTGAGCAAAAAATGTTGTGGCTGTTGCGATCATTATTCTGTTTGGGTGACATGGGGATCGTACTCCATGCATCGAGTCCTTCCTTGTCTGAATCCTGGTCCAGAGCCAGCGATTCCTTGTTCTCTGCATATGATCTACCTTACATCTTTGTTGTTGTTCCTAAACTTTTACTTGCGTTGTACTTTGAAGTTTTCATTGCACTAATTTTTCTACCAAAGGTGAAATCAAAATTACTCGTTACTGACTTCTTTGCATGAATTGTAAATAAGAAGTTGGCCCACCATTTTCGAGAGTTTCTCTGATCTGGCAGCCTCGTACATTCTTGGGCTATTAGATGCAACAGAATTACTTGCTCGCCCCTCCAAAAGCGAGAAAGTTTGGCAAATCTCTAAATGGTACGTGTCTACTTAATCATTGACTTGGTGAGCTTTTTCTGTTTAATAATTGGACCCAAAATCAAGAAAGTAAGATCACCTAGCAAAGCAACCTAGCAATGAAAGCCTTTAGAAATTCGTTGAGAACCAACAGTCTGGCAAATGTGTTGGGTGTACCTAATGCCTAATGGAAGAATCTACATTCTGGAAATGGCAAGGCTTTACCTGGTTAGCTGTAATCAGTTTTTAACCCAGTGGACCAGACACCCACCAACTAGGAAAGTCCTAACAGGAGCATCAACTAGATGCCAACATGGGTTGGCACTTGGCTTTTGATTCCATAGACTAATTTTTTGCTTTCGTAGTGAACAGCATAATTTTTCTTTGATTTTAAGATATATCAAACTAATTAGAAACTTCTTTTTAGTATTGATTTTAACTATTTTTGAGTATGTAGCTTTTCCTGTCAATTAAAGGCATTGGGGGCCTTTCTTTTTTTTTTGTGTCGGAGCTAGGGAAGAGGACGACATTCCTTGCAAGTAGTGCCCCAATGTTAAGCTAAAGTGAAGCACAAATTCTGAACAGAAGTTATTACTCATTAAATTCCTGGGGTAGTGATAATGAATCTGGAAGTTACACATTGCCACTCACCATGAGCCATGTTCCTCCACCAATTTTTTTTTTTTTAGAAAAAAAGAAAAAGAAAAGAGGAAAAGTTGATAATCTTTTGTTCTTCATGTACTTGGCAGCATGCACTGAATAAAGGTTTGAAGATCAGACCATGCCACAGAAAGATTTCTCTATTTATTAGTGTCATGTTTTTCTATTTTCTTATAGCTATGAATGCAATGCGGCAGAAAAAAAAAAAAGACTTCCATCCGTACATTCGACAGTCAAGTCTAAAGTGATAATAATAATAATAATCAACTCACGGAATTAACATCGATTTTCTTTAATTTCTTTCGTTAGTTTCGTCGTATTCTTTTCTTGATAATTATAATAAAAAATTGTGTTAAGTTTATATGTGACGAGATTAACATTTTCTCTTTAAAAATTAATTTATTAAGATGTGTAATATTTGTGTTTAAAAGTGAGAGACTCTTTTCTCGTATCAACTATAGAATTTTCCAACATATTCTCTCTCAATTCATAATATCTTTATTGTGAATCGAGTCACCCTGATTATTCTATTTGTTGCAGTGCTTGACGCAATAGGGGAATCGAATCCGAAATTATTTTGATATTACTTTATCAAACCTGGTATGCTCTCGAAATTGATTCAAATTAATCTTGATACCATTTTGTTACAATAATTATGTTTTTTTTCCCCCAAAACTAACTTATCAGAATGTTCAATACCTGTATTAATAAAATCAAGAAATTTCTCTTACCGTATTTGGTTTGGAATTCAATAGCATAGGCACTAGAAGAAAATTAACGAGTAATAAGACGGCTCAAATCTGGCACCAAACGTCACAGTGTAATCATTCAAGGTGTCGACAACTACAAGCTGAGAACAAAAACATGAAAATGAAAGCTTCCTCTCTCTCTTACCAAAACATTCAAATGATCCAAATTTAAATACGGGCATAACAGAGCATTCTGACAGTTGCCCGTGAATCCACTCGCAGAAAGATCTCTATTTCTCTATTCTCTCACCCCTCAAAGTGGCAGAAACGTACTCGAACGCCCATCTCCCACTTGTCTTCCTGCTTTCTGCTCTACTCTCTTCTCTCTGCCACAGTTTTTCTCTTTCTAAATGGACGGCCCTGATTAACTCGGTATTTCAAGCTCTTTCGTGATTAATCTCTGTAACTATCCAGGCTTCCTTTTATCTTATTCTTCCTCACTCACCAGCTGAACTGCCCTTTGAATTCCTTAGTTAAAAAAAGAAATGGGTGCTTTTAAATTCTTTGCTTCTTCGCTTGTTATGTTGGTTGTTGTTACTAGACTTTTACCGGGGGCAGAGTCCAAGACGTACTGGGGAGATATACAGGCGTTGGAACAACTGAAAAATGGAGTCGACCCTAACTCGGTGAGTCCTGGTTCTTGCTTGAGTTCGTGGGACTTTACAGCAGACCCGTGCGACAGCCTCTTCAGTGAACGTTTCACCTGTGGTTTCAGGTGCGACCTTACGGTTTCTGGGTTAAGCCGAGTTACGGAAGTTAGTCTTGACTCAGCTGGGTACGCTGGTTCTCTCTCTTCTGCTTCCTGGAACCTCCCTTATTTACAAATCCTTGACCTGTCAAACAATTTCTTCTCCGGGTGGATTCCAGGGTCACTCTCCAACCTGCCTCGGTTAACTCGACTCGGTCTTTCGAGGAACACATTATCCGGTGAGATACCTGCCTCGATTGGGTCGTTGTCGAGCCTTGAAGAACTGTACCTCGATAACAACAACCTTCAAGGACCTATTTCTACGACTTTCAATGGTCTTGCTAGCTTGAAAAGGCTCGAAATTCAAACAAACAACATCTCTGGTGCGTTGCCCGAGCTGGGTTCACTCAAGAACCTTTATTTTCTTGATGCAAGCAACAATGCCATTTCTGGGTATCTCCCTACGACGTTCCCTCCTTCACTGGTCCAAATCTCCATGAGAAACAACAAGATTGAAGGCACCATCCCTCAAAGTCTCAAATATCTGAGCTTTTTGCAAGTATTGGACCTGAGTGGCAACAAACTCACCGATTCAGTCCCTTATTTCCTTTTTAACCACCCATCTCTCCAACAACTCACTCTCGCATTCAACTCCTTTACGTCTGTACAATCTCCCTCTAATTTAGGAACCAAAAGTGAGCTCATTGCCGTTGATTTGAGCAACAACGAGCTCCAAGGCTGGTTACCTCATTTCTTGCCACTATTGCCAAAGCTGTCAGCTTTGTCCCTAGAAAACAATAAGTTCTCGGGTATGATCCCAGCCCAGTACGCATTGAAAACGATCCTGCCTGGATCCGGAATTGCCCCTTTTGCAAGGCTTTTGCTTGGAGGGAACTACTTGTTCGGACCAATTCCGGGGCCCTTGCTGTTTCTCAAGCCAGATACTGCAAATGTCAGTCTTGCTGACAACTGCTTGATAAGGTGTCCGCTGCGTTTCTTTTTCTGCCAAGGAGCTGACCAGAAATCTTTAATGGAATGTAAGAGATTTAGCCCTGTAATCCCTTGAATTACTATGCAATTAATTACAGCAATGTTTTTTAGTAGAATACATTCTCCCTCATTTTGTTCCTTTTGGGTTATCTCCTTCCACAATTCTTTTCTGTTAGTTTCAGTTTCTTGGTGGGAAGCCCAAAATTTCTTTTTAACTTAATGGACTTAGCAATCATGGGAGTGAAAGGTTCTAAAACAAAACATGATCAAAATCAAAATCAAAATCAAAATAAGATGTACTAGATTTTTTATGTCTATTCTCTGACAAATGTATGTTTTGCCCACCTGGTGTTATGGGACGTGGGGTGTACGCGCATGAAAAACAGAGCTTGGGTCCTGCTTGTCCTTTTAGGCTCAGCTCGGTCCCCACTTTGGGCCCAAATGAGAGGCCGTATTGCACCATTTTGTGGCTTGGATGGCATTGGTAAAGACCCAAAGTATTGCACCATTGCATCCATGTGCTTAGTGCCACAAATCTGGCTTGGATCACGAAAACAAGAGGAAGTTCCCCTTTCTGGAAACCCATTCATTTGCCCAAATAAACATTTACTATGGACAAGAGACTTTCTTTGCCACAGTGTTGGATTTTGTTTAGGGAAATGAATGACCCAAAGAACTAAAGCAGTAAGCCGAGTCCAGAATACCTGTCCAGACATAGAATTTCTTCTTTTTCCTCCCTAAAAACATTTAATAGTTTGCAGCAGATGGAATTACAAAACTGAAACGAGTACAAAAGGGGATTGCAGCAGGTGAAATTACATAACTAAAAGGTGTACAAAAGTGTTTCTCAATCAAGATACAAAATCTGTAATTAATGTGGTTTGCAGCAGATGAAATTACATAACTAAAAGGTGTACAAAAGTGTTTCTCAATCAAGATACAAAATTATTGTAATTTTGCGGTGAGCGTGGATCGAACACGCGACCTTCAGATCTTCAGTCTGACGCTCTCCCAACTGAGCTATCCCCGCTTGTCTCCAGAAGGAGTTTCTCATTACCTTTGTTGAACATCACATCAGACGGAATTAGGGACAAATCAGCTTGACCAACAGTACTTTTAGCTTAGACAATACCATTATCCCATGTTGAAGCCTGCGAAAAGTATGGGTTTACTTGTACTTTATCAATTTTGTAAGTTTTGGGACGTTATAATGTGACTATTTACTATGTTAAACATGCTGCAATTTTAATGTTCTTCCTTGTAAACTGCCTTACTTCATGAGATTCATCAGCATGGCCATAAAAACTAAATTACCAAGTTTCTATAATCCAGGCCACAGATGCTTTTCAGGATATTGAGGTCCCACTTCCATTGAAAATCGTATTACCTATTCATTTGACAAGTGGGCTGAGCCTAACAAGGGGGATCAAGCTTGTCTCATATCTGCCCACAGAACCAGCCCATTCACCTCATGCTAAACGCTGCAATCGTTTTTTTCCAACACCCTTCGTTCAAAAGCGAAGCTAAGCTGTTGTTCATCATGCTTCAGTTTATAAAATAGACAAGCTATTTTGGTGAGTCTATAACCTAAGCAGCCGCGTCTTCCAGGTTGGCCAGGAATTCAATGCAAGGAATTTTAAAACGGTTACAGTGTTGTGAGATGCAATTGGGTTGATATGCCCATGAATCCATGAGGTTTGGTAACGGCATGATTGTTGACCAGGGGGACTGATATCCCGTTAATATTCCTTCACGAAAATACGCATTAATCACATGACGGCACTGTTCTCAACATCGCGTCAATTCTGCCTACTTGCCTCACAGTCAAAAAATATAAGCTTGGACCTTCAGGTCTTTGATCTCAAAACCATCAATGGAGATTTCAGTTCATAACATCTTTTCTCTGCATCTTTTGCTCTTATTCTCACTGTCCTTCTCAATCTCACCACCTGCCTGTGAGGCGTGCCATGAAGTGGACAGAGAAGCTTTGCTTGGATTCAAGCGCAGCATCACAGCTGACCCTTCAGAACTGTTGCAATCATGGGTACCTTCCTCTGATTGCTGCACCTCCTGGAAAGGGGTCGCTTGCAATTCTGCTGCAGGCGGGGGTCAATGTCACACGTCAAGGCCTTGTTGGGACAGTGATCATTGTGGATACGTTCATGAGGAACTTTATCTCCTTCCCTGGAAACCTATCGTTTCTTCAAGTTCTTGACCTTAGCAATCTCAAAAACTTGAAAGGACCAATGCCACCAGAATTAGGCAAGTTATCGCATCTTACTCTTCTTTTTCTCGATTCAAACCAGCTGACAGGGTCGATACCAGTGACATTCAAGCACTTCTCTCGGCTGGAAAAGCTTTATCTTAGCAACAACAAGATTTCTGGTGTTATACCTTCACCTGTCATTGGATCCTTAAAATCACTGACCGAACTGGGTCTTTCAGGAAACCGATTGGCAGGATCAGTACCTGCAACAATTGGCAAGTTGGTTTTGTTGGCAAAGCTTGATATTCACGGAAACAAACTTTCTGGTAGTTTGCCTACAACTATTGGCAAGCTTAAGAACCTCAAATCTCTTGACTTATCTGAAAATCAGATAACAGGAAGCATTCCGAAAATCCATTGGTGGACTTTCAGCATTAGAACTCCTAGATCTCAATCGGAACCAGATTACAGGACTTATTCCTTCTTCAATTTCGGGCCTTATCTCTCTGCAGTTTTGCCGCATATCAGAAAACAAGCTGACAGGAAGTTTGCCCCCATCCATTGGTGAGCTCCCAAATATTCAGAGGCTAATTCTTGAGAACAACAAGGTCACCGGGAAACTACCGGCTACAATCGGACATCTTGTCACTCTTACTGAAATATACCTCTCCAACAACCGTTTCACAGGCAAGATTCCTTCAAGTTTCGGTAATTTGCAAAACCTTCAAACACTAGATTTATCAAGAAACAATCTCTCTGGTCAACTTCCTTCTCAGCTGGTCAAATTACAGAACTTACAGACATTGGATCTGTCATTTAATCCTCTGGGACTAAATAGCATACCAAAGTGGTTCTCTAAATTGAAACTTTTTCGGCTCATATTAGCCAAAACTGGGATTAGAGGATCACTTCCAAGGTGGTTATCTTCTACATCCATTTCCACTCTAGATTTATCAGGCAATGCATTGACGGGGAAACTACCATCTTGGATTGGTAACATGACCGGCCTTTCGTTTCTCAATTTATCAAACAATGGTCTTCACTCATCGATCCCAGCTGAATTCAAGAATCTTAGGCGTCTAATGGATCTTGATCTCCATTCAAACAAGTTCTCTGGTCACCTGGATACAATTTTCTTGAAAGAAACTGTTGATCCTTTAGGCCATTTTAACTCAATTGATCTTTCTGACAACACGTTCACTGGTCCTATCAGTGAATCCATCGTAGAGAGACCTGCAATGAACTCTATAACATCACTTGTTCTCTCATTCAATCCGCTAAAAGGATCAATACCAAAATCCTTAGGGAAATTGACTGAGCTGCAAATCCTGAAGCTGGTAAGCAATGGGCTTTCAGGGAAGATACCGGTGGAGCTTGGTGATGCCACGAAATTGACCACAATTTTGCTTTCAAGGAACAAGTTGAGTGGCTCCATCCCAGGGAAGGTGCTCAATTTGAAAGACCTCAAGGAATTTGATGTCTCGGATAATCAATTAAGTGGCAAGATTCCTCCACATAAAGCCACAATCCCTGCATCTGCATTTATGGATAATCCTGGCTTGTGTGGTGCTCCCCTTCCTCCTTGTAAACATTAATAGTATTTTCAACAAAGAATATCATTTTAGAATTCCTTTTTCTTTTTTGAATTGTTCTCAGCATTTATCCATTGTTATTCACATGATAAGTTGCAATTCTCTGTTCATGTAATTGTATGTTCATGAATGGAAAATAATGTGGTCTTTGCCAGGAATTTCAATTTACAATAGAACTATTTGGTCTTAAAGGCTATGTATGTGCTTTCTACCCAATTTTTCATTTCTTTTCTTAGGAATGAAGAAAGAATATCAGGACCCAAAATGTAAATGGTCCATCCCTACTCTATAACATAAAAAAGTTGCAAGATCCCATCACTCAAACTCCATTTCCCCCCGCCCTTTTCTCACTACTCACCAAATTTCAGAAGATATACTATTTGTATATCTACAGGGAATTTAGAGAAAGCTAGAAAGCTATCTTTGGAAAGTTCAAATTTAGTGTCGAGTAACTCCTGTCATTTTGTATCTCATACTAGTTTTCTATGGCCAGGGATGGAATAACGAGGCTGTTTTCTAACGGCTACAGCTCCCACTGAAGACTTTATTTATTCTGAGCAGGTAGAATCATTTACTACAGACACTTGAGTCCTTACGAAAGGAGCAACGGACAGATCCTAAGACTTGAACAAAATAGTCTAATCAAAGACACAATTGTCAAAATTTTGTCTTCTAACGCAGATAAGACAGTGAGATTAGCTTTTCATTTATGAAAGGATTCCTGACGGAGGCACTCAAATCCATGGTTGCTTCAAGAGGGAAGCGGAAGGGAAACTGAGATACTGCCTGATTAATTTTCAAAAATGCTCCCAATTACAGGACCACAGCCTGAACAGCCCTTGCCAAAAATTTCCCTGACTTGAAATAACAGGTGCTGTTCTTCATTTATTTTCCTAGTAAAACATTAGGTGTTAGATCTGACCCCCTACCCCATTTGATGTTTTTTCCAGAAATTTATGTCATTTGACCAATAAATTATAAAAAGGGCATCCAGGGAAAGAATTTCTCTTCATCTTTAGCAAATATACTTCTAACTGCAAAGCCCAGAGTGTAGCTTATACAGAGAAATACATAATGTGGGTTGCAGAATTCAGATTCTTCTGAGGAAGCTATAAGTTCATAGAGGACAAGTAGATTAGGATAAAGGATAAGGATCTCTTAACAGATAAACTAATTTATTCAGACAATCAACCAATGATTACTATAAACTAATTTATTCAGACAATCAACCAATGATTACATATATATACACATGCCTGCACACTTTGGAAAAGTATGAATAAGGTCAAAACTCAAAAAGGGTCTTTACTTTTTCTAGAGTACAAAGTTTCTTGTGCCCTTTTTTCAGTTGGATAAGTGCTGGGATCCGATCAGTACCAGGGCTACTAAAATAAAACAAACCACAGCAAGAATGGGGGTGTTGCGAGAATCGAACTCGCGACCTCTCGCACCCGAAGCGAGAATCATACCACTAGACCAAACACCCTTTGATGACTGTCCGATTTAGTTGCCTTTTTGGCTGGATCTGCACAGATAGTAGAATTACGAGTTGTGTTATGCAAAATTCAAGAATTTCCAGAGCTGGGAAAGAAGGGTGTTACTTGTTTTTGAATCTAGTTTGGGGATAAGTGATCCAATGAAAATTGCTTGAATATCGGTTTCGATGTCACTTATCTAGAATATCTAGACTCCCTATACCTTAAGTATCATTCTTAAGATCTTTGTTAAGACATTCTTTACCCCTTGGATAATTTGCAGAGATTTGCAACTTTCTGACAGGAAAAGCAAATGTTACATATATTTCTTGACCATCATTGAGTAAAAGTGGTAAATGTATCCAGTAATCTCTTGATTAAACAGTCTAGTTTCAACCACTGTGAGAGGCTGGATATATATGCACATTGCAGAGCAAACAATGCCTGGGATTGTATCCTTCCTTCGAAGTGCTTTTGGCCCATGGTCATCGGCTGCAATCGTTGCATTGCATTACCCTTTTTTTGGGTTGTAAGAAACCCCCTGACAACTTTTCTCAGATGTCAGTCAGGCTCTCTTTGTAGGGGACCAGAATATACTAGTTCTCGCTGCTAATGCTTTAAAGTGAAAGACAGCATCCACCAAAACTGCCGAACTGGGGTATACATGCATATGGTTTCGATTTTGTATGCTGGCAAAGCAACACTTCAATCGGATTAGGTCAGGCAAGTAATTTCCATCAATTCTTGGACAAATAATGGGATTGGTCTCCGCTTGGAGATAAACGTACGTGCATAAGGTCCTTGGTGGTGCTGGTGCACCGCATGAATCGATGCTTTTCGTTCATTTACTGTACTGATGAATCCTGTATGTCCATGATAACCCTTTTGTTTCTACATATCCTGGCATATTTCAATATAAAATTTCAGGCTTTCTCTGGATAATTACTTATTATTTACTCTGGTTTCTGCAGGTAATTGCATCTTTCCATTATGCAGGCAATCCTTATAGTGTGCATCATTACCTTCCGCGGACACAGCTTTTCACAGGAACTTTCCTGCAGATAACTTTTGAACAATTTTTGCTTTGCACGTAAACAGTGTCCCATGCACATGCCTTTGTGTCATTACCCTAAACAGATTAAAGAGGATGCAGTGAAAAACATCTTCCAGGGTAAACGAAACAATGGAAATTACATTCAGATTCCTTCCTGTTAACATAATTATGATAATTATTCAAATTATAAATTAAATCAATAACGTCAAGAAAGAGACATGTAAACGCATGCAATGTTCAATGAACCTTCGATAATTATGTTAGCGCTTTTCTTGATGACCGTAGTTATTTATTTCCTTGCTTCACCTTGATGAAGTGAGGGTGACTATACAATACATACTCATTAAGGATGAACTAGCTAGATAAGGATGAAATCAGTTAAGTTGAACAAATTAATTACAAGCTTTAGAGCAGGTTTGCTTGGACAAACAGAGACAATACTTATGTTTTGTACATAGAAGTTAAAGATTCAATTCAGTTCATTCGAGCTCAAACTTTAAGTTCAAGCTTGATTCACTTGGCATGTATTTAATAATGTTACATTAAAGAAATTCATTTTTGCTCACAAGCTCCAAAAATAAATTAAAATGTAATTAATTTAATTTAAATCAACTTGTTTTAAATTAACACGAGACAAGTTGTTTTTAAATTAGGTTCATTTATCATTTGAGCAATGGGAATTAATTTGATTATAAGTTGATAGGAAAACTAAATTCGATTCATGCATGTGTAGAAGTCGAAGGGATGTTCATGGGTTAACTTCATATAGGTCTTGTTGCATTGTGCCGTGGTCATGTTAACTTGCACTATAAGATATGAGGTCTAATAGATAAAGCAGATAATACTTTGCAGATTGACTCATATTATAAGACGTGAGGTCTAATAGATCAAAACGGATAATATTTTGCAAATTAATATGTATCATGATGTGAAATCTAGTAGATCAAAACGAATAACATTTAGTAGATTGGTATGCATCATAACATATTGGCAAGTGACCCACTTCAATTAAGATCTATCCACATCAATCAAAAGTCGGAGAAGTTTTGATATCACTTACTACGAGTCTATATTTCTAATCTAAAAAACATGCTTATTAAGTGCAAGAAGACATTTTCTTATAAGATAAAATACATTTAGTACTTGTTTGGTCTGAATTTTTTTAATTTATTTACCTCTTAAAAGAGAAAATTAAGCCAAACAAGATTTTGAGAAGCTTTTAAAAAGCTGCTTATTTTTAAGAACAAAATTTTAAAAAAAAAACTACAAAGACGAGCTTTTTCTTTTTTTCTTTTAAAAGCACCTTAGCTTTTCGAGAAATACCTCTCTTTCAATCGATCTCTCTTTGTAAATGACTTGTCTCCACTGCAAATCGTATCTATTTCTTCTACCTCTATTTACAAAAACTATTAAAAAGAAGAAAACAAAAATAAAAACCCAACAACAGAATAGCAAAATCTGAAAATTTTTTGTTCTTACGAAGATTAAGAGAAAAAAAGATCTAAAATTTAAAATACTATTTAAAGGTTTTTTTTTTCTTCACCAAAAAAGATTTTAATGTCAAATACATCGATTTTTTTTTTAAGGAATTGAAGCATCGTAGTCCAATTACTTGCTAGATCAACAAAAATCTAATACTATTACTACTATACAATGTTTGAAAGTTGTTTTGTTTTTGTATAGATTTATTTAATTTTAACATCTAAAATTATATATAAGCTCAAAGCAGACATGTTTCACTTTAGTTTATTAGGTGATTGAAGATAACATAAATATTTTTAATGCTAATTTTAACCAAAATTAGAAGTAGTATAACTTATTTTGCCAAACAGTTCACCAAACAATTTTAGTTTAATTTTAAAAATAATTATTTTTTATAAGAGCTTCATAATAGTTTTTAAGTTAAAAAAACTAGGCTAAATAGCTTTTAATATTCTCAACTTTTAACCATAATTACATGCAGAGCCACTAAAGAGAACACTTTACCCTAAACATGTAAACGACATTAATACATAAATATGAAATGTCTAAAATATTTTTTTTCTTTTTTTTACCTTTTTCCTTTCTCTTTAGCTGTCGATGATGTTAACTTACATTGATTAACCACCTATCTCCTGGCCCTAACCTCTCCTGAAGAGCACCAAATCGGTGCTTTCTCAGGGAGTGCAGTTGGCTCAGATGGTTAGAAAATTTTTTATTTTTTTTAAAAAAATAATGTTAAAATGAAAAATTAGAATTTATATAGTGATAATTTTTAAAATTAATGAAACTTAAAATTATTTTAAAAATATTATCATATTATCAAACTAATAGAAACATTAAAAATTGACTAACAATATAACTTATATGTCCAACAAAAATATTTTTTTAAATAAAAATTCACATGAAAAATTAATATATCTGCGTGTAATTATGATTAAATATTGAAAATGTTAATGTGTTTCACTTTTTTTTTAATAAATTCAAAACTTATTTTATTTTTAATTAATATAACATCTTTTAAGTTAAAAGTATAGATTCGTAGCACAAACATAGGCCACACATGTTCAATCTCATAGCCAACTAACCAAGATAACAATTAATTTGATTTTGTGTGGATGCATTTTCACTTTTCTGCAAAGAATACATTTTGCAACAACAACTGAATACTAGAGCCATTAATTTTTCCACCAGAAATTTTTACTTGGCATTCTCCAACCACTTCATAAATCATGATGAAGTCTACGTCGAAAAATCAAAATGGTTTCAAATGTTACCCAACATTTGGGACCACCATTTCCTGCCATTCTACCTCGCCCCTACACGAATTTATTTTCCTTGTAATTATATGATTCAAAAAATTGGTAATTTTTTATATAGGAAGAAACCCAAAAAAAAAAAAAACAAAAGACAAGCAATATAGGCATAATGTTTTATTGAGCAAACTTCACAAAATGTATGCTCTATATACATCAATGGTCCTACATTCTTTCAAGTTTCTTATGGCAGCTTCAAATTTGGTACCGGTATACAAGGTGGCAAAAGGTTTAAAAGAATACGCGTAGATAACCATTGATGCAAAGATTATTAGATTGTACTTAATTACGAGATATTATTTACTTAAAAATTGACTCTCACAATTCTATCTTTTAAAAGTAATTAAAATAATTATGAGAGAAAATGTATTATATATAAATATATGATCAAACGGCAAACAGGTCTTTTTCATTGTTAATACAAAGATTATTAAACTGTATTCAATTACGAGATATTGTCTATTTTGAAGTATACTTTCGCAATTTAGAGAATGGTACGTATACTAGCAATGTAACCTTCCTCCTCCTCCTCCTCCTCTCTCTCTCTCTCCCATTCATCCAAAAGCATCGTATCATATACAAACATATGATTAATAAGTTCTTAAAGTCAAACAGGTAGTAGGAAAAGCATGGCGCCCATAGCCCATCATTCAAATCAAGTCTTTCCCCCCCCCCAACCCAACTACCAAGTTTAAATCCTTTCACTTAATTGGTTTCATTTTCAAATTTAAACAAGGTTCGTGGGAACAATCAAGCTTACAGATGACAATACTTATGTCAGGAGGGAAAAAATTTTAAAAAAATTCAAAGGTCCTATTAATAAATAAATAAATAGAATTTATTGCATATATGGTCACGAGGAAACAGTTTTGTTCAGTTAAAGCCCTTTATCTACATTAAATACTGTAAGGCTCAGGAGATGGAATTTTCCAATTTGGTAGTAACTTTTTCAAATACTTTAAGGTGACGGGCGAGGTTAAAATGGGGAAAAAAGGGGGAGAAAGAGGCCAACAAAGGAAGATAAAAAGAGGAAGGAGACATGTTCTTAGGACTCTGTCATTGGAAATTTCAGAAGATTCCGTACTTTTCTGCGTGCTTTCTCTATGCTCCTTCCCCATCGTACACTAACCTTGAACAGGGGTAACCTAGTAATTTCACTTTCCACTCCTCAATCCGCATCCCTTCAATCTAACCGCATAAAAACCACCGTTTTTAAAACCGTTTCGGTCCGTTCCGGTTTTCGAAACATAAATTTCAAATTAAAAAAAGAAAAAGAAAAAAGAATTAAACTCCCTCGAAAACTCAAATTTGGGTTGCGACCTGACGTCATTGTGCAATAGAAACACTACACGTAATCCAACCAGTCCCTGGACGGCTAAAAACGACTGCCCTCTCCTCTCCCACCCCACCCTCAACCCCCGCGCTTCTACTTGTGTTTTACCGGGTAAAAAACCGTCGGCTTTAGGTGTCGGAGCTACGTATTCAAACACAAATCTACGTGTTTTGTTTTTAGTGACGAAAGTATCCCTGCTTTTCAACTAATATAACGGTCCATACCAAATTTAGTGTAAAAAAACTTCGTACTAGATAATTATGGTGACACGGGACTAGGGAATCATTTTGAGTTGTGATACGTGCAGACAAAAGCTGGCCCCTCACCCCGGTAGCCCGCTTTGGTCTGTGTATCACTTTTGTTGTTTTTTTTTTTTGGAGCTTGTCTTTGCTTAGAAGGCATGTCCTGTCCCAAGCTTTGGTCATAATTATCAATGGGGTACTTTAGTATTTATCAAATACATAAATATCACCCACACCCCTTTCCCTCATCATACATAGTTTTCCCATTTTGGTTGCATTGCTTTTTCTTCTTCATGCCTTAATGTTAACGTTAGACATGGACCATGGTTTTGAGTCTCGAGGTAAATAAAAGAAGTAAAACAAAGATAATTACTTGATTAATTTTTGTCCCTCGATTTAATGATTGTATATTGTTTTAAACGCAAGCGATTATAAAGAAATGTTTAGGATCGAATTGAGAATTTGGTAATAATAACTTTGATAATTATGACAACTTCAATTTTTTTCATTAAGAATTCATAGTAATATTTCCCATTTTTTATTATCCAAAAAAATCATTTTAATTTTTCATGAAAGGAAGTACATTGGTCAAGCAATCGAAGCATTCAAATAAATAGTATATACTTATTGTGTACCTTACAACCATTAATTTTGATCAAATTTACAAATAACTAACTACAATTTTATTTTTTAAATTAAGAGTAATTAAGAAATGTCCTTACAGTACCACATTGATTAAAAACAGTAAAAATCACAATTTAATGTTATTTATAATTTATAATTCACCGTTGATAAGTATTTCATTAATTGTATCGTGATCACATAAAAAAATGAAAATATTTGGTCAATACTAATGCATACTCTTTCGGTCCACACATTTCTCTGATTTTAAGAAAAAGCGAGGTGTCTAATTTTGATTTTTGCCCTTTTGTGGGGTAAATTTCGTAATAAACAAAATAAGAAAATAGAAAAAAAAAAAGAAAAAGAAAAGTGGTGAACAACCAAGACGAGCGGCGATCAACGCGGTACGCAAAAACGTAAATTAGTCAAAAGAGAGGGGCCGAATTCTTACGAAAGCAAAAAAAAGAAAAGTAAAAAGGAAGAAGATGAAGAAGAAAGAAATAAAGAATAAGAACAGAAAAGTGGCTGTTTCCTAGGTGTTCACGATCGTTGGTTTTATTTTTTGGTAGGCCGGACAACACCATATTTCTGTTTTCTTTTTAGAATCCAGAAAAAAATTAATAAAAAAAATAAGAAAAAGTAAAAACCAGGGAATCTGAGGCTTTGGTCCGACCTGACCTTCTAACCGTGACAGAACGCGGACAGTGAAAAGTCCTGTTCTTTATAATCCAAAGGGTAGTGTTTCGTAAATTCAGTCAGTTTTTTCTGTTCGTAATTTATGAGGGAAAGAATTGCAACGTATAAAGGAATGGGGGGGGAATTAAATACGAGGGGAGAAATATTTTTTGTGTGTAGAAGAGAGAGAAAAGGTAAAAATTAAGAGAGAGAGTTAAACAAGGAAGAAAACGGGCACTTTTTAGTAGAGGGCACGGACGCTTTCTGCCCTCATTCAATGCTTTACCAAACACACCACCACCCTCTTTTCTTCCGTTTCCGCTCCTTTACCTCTGTTCCTCCTCCTCTCCCTTCGACTACTCCCTCGCTCTTACCCTCTTCTCTTCAGGTATTTCAATTTTTTGGAAACGACAGTCGTGACATCAGATAGTTCTTAGCATTTTTTTTTGGTTAAAAGGGGTTTTCTTTTTCTGGGTGTTCTGTGTGTGTGTTTCTTTTTTTGTTTTTAATTTTGAGTTTGATTTATGGTGTTGTTATAGGAAATGGAATGCGTTGAGACGGCCTTGAAGACTAGTTTTAGGAAGGAGATGGCTTTGAAATCAAGCCCTCAAGCTTTTCTGGAGGATATTTGGCTTGCTAATGGACAGAATGGGGTTTCTTCTGATGACTTTTCCGTCGACGACCTGTTTGACTTCACTAACGAAGAGGGTTTTTTTGAACAACAGCAGCAGCAGCATGAAGAAGAAGAAGAAGAGGAAGAGGAAGGAGCACCGATTTCTTCTTCTTCTTCTTCGCCTAACAGACAAAAGCTAAGCCAAGAGGAGCATCTTTCTAACGACACTACTACGAATTTTGATTACGCTTCCCTACCCACCAGCGAGCTAGCTGTTCCGGTAAATGAAGAACCCTTTTCTTTTAAGAAAAAGTTTTGCTTCTCGCTATTTTCTGTTCTGGGGTATGGATGTTAATGGTGAAAAAAGTGCCATTTTTTTCCAGGCGGATGACGTGGCTAACCTCGAATGGCTGTCTCATTTCGTTGAGGATTCCTTCTCGGAACACTCTACGGCGTATCCCACCGGAACGCTGACGGAAAACCCGAAGTTACAAGCAGACATATTGGCTGAGCCGGAAAAACCAGTTATCACGACATGTTTTAAAACTCCTGTTCCAGCCAAAGCCAGAAGCAAGCGCACACGAACTGGTGGCAGAGTTTGGTCCCTTGTCGCTTCCCCTTCTCTCACAGAATCTTCCTCAAGTTCCACGTCATCATCTTCCTCCTCTAGCCCCTCGAGCCCATGGCTTCTGTACCCAAACAGTGGTTCAGGTTCAAACTTTGAACCGTCCGAGCCGCTTTCGGTCGAGAAGCCACCGGCTAAGAAGCATAAGAAGAGACCGGCGACCGACTCAACCGGTGGGAGCGGGACCCAGCCGACCCGTAGGTGCAGCCATTGCGGTGTCACTAAGACGCCACAATGGCGAGCCGGTCCAATGGGGGCTAAGACTTTGTGTAACGCTTGCGGAGTTCGGTTTAAGTCGGGACGGCTTTTACCCGAGTACAGACCAGCTTGTAGTCCCACTTTTTCAAGCGAGTTGCACTCGAACCATCACCGGAAAGTTCTAGAGATGCGGCGCCAGAAAGAAACTTTGGGTCAAGCGGGACCTGGCCTAGCTCCGCCGATTGTACCCACTTTTGGATAACATTAAATCTTTTAAAAAAAAAATTAGTAGTACTAGATTTTTAGAGCGGTAGTGAAAATACTGAATAGGATAACAGTGAGAGAGAGAGAGAGAGAGATGGACCAGGTCCCGGTTCAAAAGGCCCGAGTTAGTTTCGGTTCGAGTTGTACATTAGTTTCGACATTATCAGGGTGGGCGCGGTAGGTTTCTAGAGATGTAACCGATTTAGGAAGAACTTTAATTGTACCCCTTTATTTATTTATTTTTCCCCACTTTTCCCACCTCAGTTATTTCGAATTTAAGCCTTTTTACAGTTTTCTTTGTCCTTTTCGTTTCCATTAACGAAGTACAAAGTTTCGAGGGTGGGATAAAGATTGAACCGTTCAACCTTTTTCCAGGAATGGCCGTTGGAAAGCAAAAATATTGTGAATGGGAAACTGCATTTGGCGTGAGGACTACGCACTCAGCTTTGATATTCTTTGCAATTTGCTTTGATTTTTCCTTTTCTTGGCTCTGAAATTGAAAGGCCAAAGTCAGTGTACACAAGTTAGATAGCTTATAGGGTTCTCAAGGGGTTGATTTCGGAGCAATTTCGTGTTTGATGTTTCATTCTTGGACGGAATATGGACATTTTGATGATGGGTTTTTGGACAAATTCTCAGTTGTTCCCTTGTAAATGCAAACGTTTGGACTGGTGCTAAGAAAAAAGGGTTTGGGTTTTAAGGTGAAGTTACCGATACTCTTGAAAGGGGTGTAGCTCTGCCTCTGCCTCTGCCCTACCCTGCCCCAGCCCTGTTTCCTTTTGTTGTTTCCCTCCTGGATGTATTAAAATTAAAAGTTAGGGCGGGGACTGAGGTGGAGTGGGCACACCCCACCCGCCGGCCTCCCTCCAATCAAACCAGTTTTTGACTTGGAACACCTAGAAACAGAGACTCGGTTATCTGCTCTTGTCTTTCTCCATCGAGTCTAGTGGAAATGATAACATCCTCGAATATCCCTACCTATGATAACAAGACACTCATGCGTGCTCTGCATGTTTGATTCTAGGAAAAGTTAATAGGGTCGGAAGATAGTCACAGCCTTACACGCTTTGCTGAATAATAATTTCGAGATAAAAGTGATATTAGAATTCCATTTTAATATACTCATAGCTTAATAAATTGTGCTGAAAATTGGTTTATCTTTTACATTGTTGATAAAATATTGCACATTTTAAAAAATTAATTTTTAGATGAACAATAATGATTTCATGATAAAATGATATTAAAATTAAATTAAGTTTTATTTAATGCCACATCAACATAAATAATAAAAAAATAGTATAAAATTTCACATCAAATAAATAAAAAAAAATTTATGAAATTTCACATCAAATAAGTAACAAGCATTTTACTCTTATATATATAGACATTAGACAGTTTAATAAATTAACTTTTTGAAATGAGATAATAACTTTTATAAGACAAGGAGATACCTTATTGTCTTTCTTGTGTTGAACTTATGTCGCAATGAGAATTTAAATAGTACTCTTTTCTCTTGTAAAACAAACGAAAAAGGAGTGTATATATTAAGTACTATAAAACACTAGAGAGATTAACAAAACAAAATGGCTTATTATCTGATATATATATGCCACAGAAAGAGAATCTTGACTTGACTTTCAGCTCCTTCCCTAGGTAATTTTTTGATCAGTCAGCTGAATTTAGACTTTAAAAAAAGGGCAGATAAAAGCTCGGAAAGCCGTGAAGGAGACAAATGCGTTTGGGTCAACCGTGAGGGAGGATAAGGTCTAAACTGTACTTGGCGTCGTAGCATGCGGGGCAATTTTCTGCCGGGCGACCAAAGGCAAGCTAATAGCTTTTAAGATTGACTTGTTAGTTATAGCATGCTATGACATATGTCTAATTGTGTTTGCTTAGCCTTCTCCAGTCAAATGCAAGTCAGTTTATTGTTGATTCTCATGGCGCCTGCGATACTTAGAAATGGTTAGATATTTAGGTTTACCGACCTTTTATGTCATCGTATTAAAGTAATTTGTTAAACAAACTTTTTTATAACATTTTTTCTATAATAATGTTATGATCAATAATCAATTTCATAAGATTCTGATGCAGAGATCACACCAGAATAGTAATTATAGAACATAAGACTCTTATCATTGCCTACCTGGAATGAGAAGTGATTTCATATCAGACTATTAGCTGGAAAGAGAGACTAACCAGAGAAAAATAACTTATAAGAGCATTAGATAATTTTGGCCATATGTCTCATAGACCAATGGTTTTGAAAGAATCTGATTGTATTTAAATGGGGCAATGAAGGTAGGGGCGAGCCGCTATTCCCACCATCTTTGTGGGTTCATGGTATGGGAAATATCAGCATGAAGTGGCAACCAATGCGAAAGCCAAATCCCATCAAGAAATTTCTCAAAGTAGGGAGAGTTTGATCAGGATCACCCCCTCCCTCATGCCATTATTGTTGCGTGGCAATCACGTGATGGCTATCTCTCACCGGCTCCAACCACTCTCTCCCAACGTTTGGAAATAAGGGAAGAACAGCAACAAAGTGTGTGGTGTGGTAGGAAAGATGGGTTTGTCAAGTCTTGTGGTTTTTGAAAGCTCCCAATCCCATAACGGAAATTGGATTTGCCTTGTTCAAAGCTTTTATCTTTTCATGGTATGTGCATTAGGTAAGCGGCCATTGAAAAAAAAAAGAAAAAGAAAATATATGTTTGGGATAATTACACAATTCATCATTCTTTGTAGAGATTTTAAGTCATTTTGTCGTTAATATATTATACAAAAGAAAATTAAAAATATTCTAAAATAATGTATTATTAATATCAAAATGTAATATTAATGAAATAATAATAAAAACGAGTTTCATCGACTAAATGAAACATACTTTGTTTATATAAATATAATTAGAATAATAGATCAAAATGCTCTTTTGAGAGCTTGATCTAATAGACTCATTGAATATATCAATTGGAAACTTAGTTCGAAGTTTTTAATTAAAATATTAATTAGATAAAAATTAAGAAATAAATTGATTTATCTATCTCTCAATCTTATTAAAAAGTTTAAAAGGTTAGTTGATTAATGTATGTCTACAAAAACAAAAAATGAACTATTACGAGGAAATAGTTGAAATCTTGATTCCATAATGGCAAATTATTTTTGAGTGTGACAATGGTATAATGTTGATGGGAATGTTGTAGTATTAATTACGTTATGATATTTAGGTTGGAGAAGAAACAAATGAGCAGCCCTTTGCTTGTTATGTGGGACTAAGAGTAGCCGGTACACTCCCACCAGGAAAATCCAAAGACCAAAAGCTCCAAGGCCTCTGCTCCTCAAGTCTTCAAACTTCTCCCACTCCCCATTGTCCACATACCAATAAGTGAGAGGTGACTGTATGCCCACCTCACTCAACCTTTTTTGACTTAATGTGTTTAATCACGTGTTTTTGGCTCCCTATGCTTTGTATTTGGCTACATGATTGCCATTTCTGCTTTTGGTTTTTAATTTGGTGACGAGTTAATCCCACAGTTGTGATTGATTCGATGTTGACAATTCTCTCTGAAAGAAATGGGAGCAAAATTTCGTGAAAAAGGGCTGGTTTTATCAGTTATCATGTACCTAATTTCTCTTTGTATTGATAGTAAATAGACAAGGAGAGGAGCCCTTTGGTTGGATTGGACTGGGCTAAGGAAGTGTGCTGGTGCCCAGCTAGGCGCCCGACTATGTCCTGGACCTGACCAGAGACTATGGAAGTAAGGCTAAGTTGACATAAGTCCGGTCGAGTGTTTTATTTTAAATGAATCAGACCAAATATCTTGGACTATCTCGTAATTGAGAGTAAGGATGGGTATTAATCGGTTTAAATTTAAAAAATTAATTAAACTTGATTAGATTTGATAAATTACGATCAATTTTTTTTATTTTAATATTAATCGGTTACGAGTAGTAATTTATTAAACATTTTGATGAATTTCCGATGTTTTAAATTTACAATCAAATTGATAAAAAAATTGATAATTAATAATTTACTTTCCTTCAACTAGAAATAATTAATTGAATGGATCAATATAAGCCGCTTTCAATATTTTTTATTTTTTATTATAATTTGATGAGTTACATTATTATTTTAGTGAAATTTAATTAATTTAATTTTAAAAATTTAAAATAAAATTAATTAAATCGATCAAATGCATAACTTCAAATGAGAGCTCTTTTCAAATAAATTAAAAAATTTATAAATTTGAATATTTGATTTCTTAATTAAAGTATGATCTTTTATTTAAAAAATAAAATTTAAATTTTATTAATTATTAAAAAAATAAAAAATTTATAAAAATAAATTAATATAATGTTCACTCATTTATTTATTTATTTATTTCATAGGCTAAACTTACCAGGACACAACGGGAAACTTTTATTAGTGTCTAGGCTTGCAAACAAAACATTTATAAATCAATATCATCCGGTATGGAAGAATACATCAATATCAAAACTGTAACACCCATAAGCAGGGCAAAAGGATTATTTCATGGAGAATATATATATATATATACGCACACATACTGGCAATAAACTGGGCAATGTGCATGGTTTGCCTCTGGAGAGTCAAGTCCTCCCGCCAATTGATTTTCTTGTGCCACCACATCCCCAAATCCAGCAGCTACCAGGGTTGCCACCTCCTCCCCAACCCCAACCTCCACCTCCTCCTCCTCCTCCTCCTCCTCCTCCACCGCCACCACCACCGCCACCACCACCGCCACCGCCTCCACCCCCACCTCCTCCTCCACCATTCCCACCACCTCCCCACCTCCTCCCCTCCATTTCCTCCACCCCATCCATGACCTTTGCCATTTCCTCTTCCTCCTCCTCCTCCTCCTCCACCCACCACCACCACCACCACCACCATTGCCCTTTGGCTTTCTTTTCTTGTGTGGGTTACCTTTTCCTCCACCCCCTCTGCCATTTCCCCCTCCATTACCTTGGCTACTTCCTCCTCCTCCACCGCCACCACCTCCTCCTCCTTTCCCACCATTGTTAATATTACTATTGCTTTGGACTAAAATTTCTTCAGAAGAATTTGTGTGTTTTTGTCTTGTACATCCCCAATAAACCTATGGTTCTCGCTGGAAACCTTGGTGCTGGAACTAGAATTGAACCCAACCACCCCATTTTTTTGCTCGAAGTCATGCATTCCATCAACCCAACACGGGCTGATCAACGCCACTGCAACTAGAAACACAAGTCCAAGTTCTCTTGCT